GTCAGTCTTGGGAATGAATATTATCCTCTAGTGAAAGAGGACAGAGAAAGGATAAGGGGGCCCAGGACTAGGCCTGGGACTCCAGCATTAAGAAGGTGGAGAGAGGAGGAAGAACCTGCAAAGGGCGGGGGCGAACCAGAGAGAGAGAAGGAAAACCAGAAGAGGATGGCAACCTCAGGGCCACAAGAGCAGTGTTTTCAGAGGGACGTGATGTAGTGGAGGTATGGGAGGCAGAAAGGGTGTCCCCAGATGTGGCCACACAGAAGACACCAATGACTCTCACAAGAGCAGCTTGGGTGGAATTGGGGTGGAGGGAGAAGGATGTGGATCGGGGTGGGGTAAATGGGTGGTGAGAAAGTGGAGACGGCTTGTGAAGACAGCCCTGAGAATTTTAGTTCTAAAGGGGAATAAAGAAATATACTGCAGAGGATGAGCAATCAGGTGGGATGTTTTGGGATGAGAAATATCAGAGTGTGTTTGGAAACTCTCAAAATGATCGCAGGAGAGTGAGACCCTGCGTCTCAGTTGTTTTTGTTTTTGTTTTTGTTTTGTTTATAATGATGAGAACATACAATCGGGCGACTCTTCACAGTTTAGCAAGTGTTGTGACACACACACTCTGTTCTTCACAGCCATGCTGTGAGTTATGGAGCAGCCCCAAATTACAGATGAGGAGGCTGAAGCTTAGTGAAATGGAGTGACGGGCTCAAGGTCAGCCCCAGAAAGTGGCCGGGCTGGGAGCCCACTCCTAGGCTGCTCTAGGCCCCACCCTCAGGCCCCTTCTTGCCCACAGCAGCCCTGTCCAGTGCACTGGCACCAACATTGGATGACACTCACACAAGTATGGGTTGTGCCCTTCTGGTGTCTCTCAAGCAGACTTTCCAGTTACCACCAAATCAATCACTTCTGCCTGCTGACCCAGCCGTGGATATTATGAAGTCAAATCTCCTTTTTAAGTACATGGACCCCATCCCACTGCTAACCCCGTTTCACAGAGCTTCAAAGCCTCCTGAACTTCTAGAAGCACCCCACAATCTCTGGCAGGTGTCAGAGACAGAAGCGTGAAACCTCACATACCTTACACCACCACCCCCAGGGGTGTGGGAACTGACAGCCCAGAGGGACTGTGGGTGGGTTAGCAACTGCAGCTAATCTCCATACTTCAGTAAAAGTACCCACAGAGTTTCACATCTGTAAAATTATAGGATTGTCATGAGGATGAGATGAGATAGTATAAATTGCTTAGAACACTATTTAGCACCTGGTGGCTCCTCTGTCAATGCTACCTGTGATTATTTTTATTTATTCATCTACTGACTCATTCACTCACTCTTGCATTAGACAGACATTTGTTGAGCACCTTCTCTATGACAAGCCTTGCTCTAGACACAGCAAATGCAGAGACATATCTACATGCTTCTGGAGCTCAAGAAACATGTTTTAATAAGGGAAGTGATGTTGGAACACAAACAACGCTGCCCATGCAGGAATGAGCGAAGTGCAAAACACAGTGGGCATGCGGAGAAGAGATCACGTCCAGCCGAGACAGTGGTTGGGTAGGGTTCATGGGAGAACATCACCCACAGAGGGGCCAGCTGCAGCTGAGCAAAGTCACAGAAGCCCAAAAGGGCAGATCCTATTCAGAAACCTAACTGGAGCATCAGCTCAAGGCCAGCAAGTGGGGAAGGAATAAGGCGGGTTATCCTAGGGGAAGGTTGTGAGAACTCAGATGACAGTCCAGCTGAACTGACAGCTAAGGGCAGCCTGGGTGGAGGGGAGGAGTGGCAACTCAGTCCATGCATTGCCCCCAGCCCTCTCCGTGGACTGTCAAGAACTCTACCTAGGAGCTGTTGGTCTTGTATTGTGTCTATAGCCCTAAGGGTGGTGGTGGAGAGAAGGGGAGAGAGTGTAGTGTTCATTCCAGGCTGCCATGTAGTTGGGTAGGACTCTATAGTTCTCACTCTATAACAGAAGGAGGAATTTGAGCCAGCCTCGTAATTTGACCCTACAGGTACTAGCACCCTCAAATCTTCAAAGAAAAGATGATCCAGGGCCATCTGCTCCCCCAGAGTCATCACCATGGGAGCAGGGACCTTGTGTACATGCCCATCATTCCAGATTTATAAGGAAAAAACTAGCCTCCAATATGTGCTGGACCCATGGCCCCCCACCTCCCCCAGGGAGCTGGCTCCAGGGGATAGTAAAGACATTCCAGGAGACCAGAGGGATGGGGTCAAAAAGGGATGTCAAGGCTGGTCTTTCTGTCTCCCACCCATAGCCTGGGGAGAACACACCTGCTATGCCCATCTCCTAAAGTTAGTGTAGACTTGTGGACCAAGAGAAGCAGACCCAGAGGGCTCTCACAGAGGCGCTGGTCTAGCGCCTTTTCAATACTGGCTCTGGAATCCCTGATTTAAACAACAGTTGATGGAATGGGATGCATAAAATAAAATGCATCAAAATGCTTGGGTGGAAACCAAGAGTGGAGGACCCAGAGTCCTGCCCCCACAGCAAGATTTGTCCACACATTTAGGTTTAGTCCAACTCTCTTGTTTTGTGGAAGAGAACCCCAGAACTTGGGTTCCTGACCAGCCAATGTCACAAAGCTGATCTCTGGCAGAGTCGAGACCTGCAAAAAGCAAATGAAATCAAGGATAAGAAAGCTCTTTGTAAACTGTAAATTGCTATAGTAGATATAAAGTGTTGTTATCACCACTGTTTACATGAAGTCCTTGGGCATTTCCCACAGTTGCCACTTTGGAGGAAGGTGCTGGCAGGGGGAAAAAGGCAGAGGACCAAGAGTGTTGGCATCATGGGCAACATGGAAAGAACACAAGATTTGGACCCTGGAAATGGTTAGAGGCCCAGCACTAAGAATGAGCTGTATAACCTTGGACAGCTCACTTTGTCCCCCTGACCCAGTGTTTCTTTTTCTAGAAGGTTGCCTTACCTTCCTTCTTTCAGGGATTATGTGGGGTTCAGGTGAGACAATGCTTGTGAAAGTGCCATTAACAAAGCCCAGCACCCTAGTACTACAGTGTCTTGCAGGAGCAGTAGGGGTGGTCGTAAACAGAAGACCTGGAGGTTTGGAGGACTAGTTTTTAGCACCCAGAAGGCACTTCCTGTCCCTGCGGGCTGGTGCCAGCTGCTGACAAGTGCTGGAGCCCATATTCTGTCTCTCCTGCCTAGACACGTCCCCTAGGTCATGCTGTGCCCTCCACACAGCCCTCAGACACTCTTTTTTGAGACATCTAAGATACAACCTTCCATCAGCAGGTGCTGACTCAGCCCCAGTGAGCTCTGTCTACCCTTTCGCACACTGTGGGTGCCAGAAGGCACCCGGCCAGTTATTCAGCATCCCCCAAACTTTACTGGCTCTGGACCTTGGTGATGGAGGAAAGAGCCAAGTTGGACCTCCTTCAGGAAAGCAAGAAGTGATTTCTCTCAAAAACCTTGGAGAGCTCTTCCCGCCCTCCCCCAAGTGTCCTCTGCCCGGGACCGTCAGAAGCTGGCAGCTGAACCCGGGATGTACATGCTCAGGTTGAAACAAAGGCAGGAGGCTGGGAACTAATGGGCAAGGGTTGACTGGGCCCCTTTGGAGAGCCTGGCAAGCTGGTGTTCCTGGCGTGGGAGGAGGCCTTCAGACATCCATGGCTGTGCTGTCTGGGGGGCGACCTTGGGCATGCCGCTTTCTCCGAATGGAATGCGATGGGAGGAAATCCACCATGGGGCACCTAAGCCCTTATGACTCAGATGTGAGTTCTGAGGTTTCACTCACTCAATCATTTAACAAATATTTATTGAGCACCTATTGTATGACAGGCACTGTTGTAGACCATGGGGAACAAAACAGACAGAAATTTCCACCATCGTGGAGCTGAATTCTAGTGGGATCAGTCAGAGAGAGAACAGATAGCTGAAAAGATCCAGACTGTCAGCTGGTGATAGTAGTCATGGGGAGAGAGAGCAGGGGGAGAGGAAGAAGGGGTGAAGGCTGATGGTGATTGCAGATTTCAGGCACGTGGGCAGGAAGGCCTCACTGAGAAGGAACAATTGAGCCAGAGCCTGAAGGAGGGGAAGGAGTGGAAGGAGGGGAAGGAGGGAAAGGAGGGAGACAGCCTTGTGGGTACTGGAGGAAAGGCATCCTGGGCGGAGGGAGTAGCAAGTGCAAAGTCCTTGAGGCCATGCTGCTGCAGGAGAGTGAAACAAGAGAGATGAAGGCTGATGAGAACTTTAATATTTTGGTTTGAGTTTCATAGACAAAGAAATCCAGCAGGTTTGCCTGGTGACTTTAGATGTGTTCATAATCTCCCGCCTGAGATGTGAATTTTGTATTTACTGTTTAAATGCTGGAACTTTCTCTCAGGAGAGAGTTATCCCAAACCTTAACGACAAAGCCACTGCTCCTCCTCCGCTCATTCACACGAGGCCTCTTGGGGTAGCAGAAAGGGCCTGAGTTCAAGTCCCAGCACCTGACACTTACTAGCTCTGTCACCTTAGGAAGAGCGCTGAACTTCTCTGAGCCTTAGCTCCCCTGATGAAGCTCATCAGTTGCTTCATCTATAAAATGGGTTAATTACACAGCCTCCCTCCCCTCTCTCACTGAATTGTTGTTATATTTAATGAGATCACAAATCTGAAAGTGCTTTCACATTGAAATGGGCAAGGGAAATATACGGGAGGTTCTTGTTTTCATCAGCATAGTCTGTGGTAAGGGATTCTCACTGGCTTCCCACTCTCCTCCACTGCCCTACTCCTTGTATTGTGTCCCATGTGGGCCCAGTTGATTCTCGCTTTGCTGGGCCCATGTCTGATTCAGGGACACTCGTCAAACACCCAGGGACCCCCAAGGCAAGGCCGCTGAGGCTTCCTCAGCTGTGCTATGGGGCTGAATTGCCCTACACTGACCTCGCTGGGAGGACTCGGAGTCCATGGCCAGTCAGGTGGCACCAGGTGGCTCAGCTGCTCCTCCCCAGCATCCTCTTCCCCTTCTCCTCCAGGTACAATGGCCCCAACCTGGTTCTGAAGTACGACCGGGCCCAGAAACGACTGGTGAACATCGCCGTGGACAAGCGCAGTTCCCCCTACTATGCACTGCGGGACAGGCAGGGCAATGCCATTGGGGTCACAGCCTGTGACATCGACGGGGATGGCCGTGAGGAGATCTACTTCCTCAACACCAATAATGCCTTCTCAGGTAAGGGGCTGGGGCCTCGGGGCTCCTCCTGCTGCCTCCCTTCGTCCTCCCAGCACCAACTGGGGGCAGGGCCTCAGGGCCCCCGGCCTTCCTCAGGCTACTGTCACAAACTGCCTCCAGAACCTTGCTCTGTCCCAGCAAGGGGACCCCTTCTTCTCTTGTACGTGAAGCTAGTTCTTAGCTCCTGGCTGCTGGGCCTGGAGACAGAGGGCCTTGAGCAAAGGCCCCCTCCTCACCCTCAGAGTTCACGTCCTCTTGCCTCCGGGTATGAGCAGCGCCCAGTCCCCCAGTCCCTCCCCTTCTCTCCTTGCTCCCCTCTGCTTCCTCCTGGCTCCATCACTCAGCACTTCTCACCCAGGTGGCCACCACAGCCAACAAATAGTCCCCTGGATTGCCCCCCATGCTGTTTTAAGGGGTAACCTTCTAAAATGAAACCCTTCAGTGTTCCCCTCAGCTTTCAACTGAGCTCATTTATTCGCTCCACAGATTCCTGCTGAGGACCTACTCTATGCCAGACTAGAGGTGCTGGGTGATGGGGGTACGACTTGGAGGAAGACAGACCTTGAGTTCATGGAGCTTCTTTTAGCCCAGAGCGTCCATCTGAGTCACCCAGGGGTCTCCTGTAAATGCGGATTCTGATTCGGCCGTTTTGGGTGGGGCCCAAGATCCTGCATTGCTCATACACTCTTGGGCTATGATGATGTTGTCGGTCCAGGGACCACACTTTGAGTAGCGTGGTCCCACACACCAAGGAAAGGAGGAAGGAAAATGATGTCCAGCCTTCCTCGCCTCCCTCACTTAATTTGTCATTATATTTAATGAGATCATAAATATGAAAGTGCCTACGAAAGGCTAAATAATCGTAACAATAATGACAACAGATAGTACTTAAATAGCACTACTGTGTGCCAGGCTGTGGTCTAAGCACTTTATAATAATTATCTCATTAAAGCCTCATGGAAGTTCGATTAGGTAGGTACTAGTATATCTCACTTTATAGGTAAAGAGACTAAGGCATAAAGAGATCACACGACTTGCCCAAGGCCACACTACTTGTAAGTATCAGAACTCAAAACCAGGCGTCTGTCTCCAGCTTCATCCTTTTAATCAAAACACTCTATGGTCTTACTCAATCCTGTGTTTTCTGGGCTAAGCGGAGAGCCTGGCTCATATTGGGCGTTCAGTGTTTCACGCGTTGGGGGGCTTTGTTCGTGGGGGCTGCAGGTGGTCCCCAGCCCCTAACTCCCACATTCTTTCAGGCCTGACCTCGGCCCACTAGCATGAAGTCTTCTCCTGTGGGGCCCAAAACATCTGCAGGGAAGTCCCAGGCTAGGGCGTCCTCCTGAAGGATGCAGGACCTTGCGTCCCTGTAAGGCCAACTTGGATGTGCACTGGACTCTTCCAGATGGCAACAGCCTCGTGGGTTGGTCTGGATGACACCTTGTTCCTCACACCTGTGTCTTCACTATCCTAACCTCCTGGTGGCGGGTGATTACCTGACTATAAGGACCATCTTCCCTTCCTCTCCCTCTACCACACACCCCAGCCCTCCCCAGGGCCCATAATGTTGCCCTTACTTCTTGTTGAGCCCACGCCAGGATCCAGTCCCTAGACTGCCCCTGATGTTGAGCCCTGCCAGTTGCACAAACGGGAAGGGACAAGGTTGGGGCCAGTGCCAGGGGCAGGAGCGGGCAGGGCTGGCTGGCTGGCAGCCAGCCTTGTGCAGCCAAGAAACAATGAGCCACAGCCCCGCGTGGTGTTTTATGGGTTTTCATCTCATCTTGCCACCAAGTGAAGCCTGAGAGATAGTAATTATCCCTACACAAATATCAGGACATGATTACCCAGCTGGATTTACTGCCCTCTCTCCAACCAAGCCAAGATTGGATTAGGACACAATTAATTGATGGGCTGATCAACCCTTTAATGTGGGGCAAGGTCAGGAGGGGAGCAGCAGCAAGGGACGGCTGAGGAAGGGGCGAGTCCTCAGGAAGGTACCGGAGGGCAGGGAACCAGAAACAGGGAGCACTCTGGAAGGAAGGGGGGTGTTCAACATGGGCCCTGCAGGCAAGGCGCCAGAGGAAGGGCAGACTCTCCGCCCTACTCACTGAGCACAGAGCACCTGGGATGGGAGCTGCCCAGTGTCTCTGAAGCAGCAGCCCCTCCCACTCTCATTGTGAGTCCTAGAGCAGTGGCACACAGCCAAGGCTGCACACTAGACTCTCCTGGGGAGCTTTAGCACTCCCAGTTTCCAAGGTGCACCCCACTGCAGCTCAGTCTGAACTTCTGGGATGTGACCCAGTTGTCAGATCTCCAGGTGATTCCCCTGTGCAGTCAAGATGGGGGACCACTGCCCCAGAGTCACGTTAGTTCCATGCTCAGCCTAACCAGAGCCCCTTTCATTCACCAATGTGCTCATTCATTGGACAAATATTTACTGAGCACCTGCTGTGTGCCAGGCATTATGCTAGACACTGAGGGTGCCCCAGTGAAGGGAACAAAGAAAAATCCTGCCCTTGTGTTTACACTCTATCCCCAGCCTGACCTTACATTTCTCTAGGTATCTGAATCCCTTCTCCAGCCCTGTGGACTCTAAGCAACTTGAGGGCAAAATACCTGTGTTGGTCATTTCGTGAATCCCTGTGTTGGTCATTTTCCGCATCCCTCTGGCCCAGTCAGACCTTGAGCACCCTAACAACACAATTAAATCTTGAATAAATAAATCTAGGAAGAACTGACAAGACATGAACCATTACGCCTGAAAGGAATTTTGCCAACAGAGGACAGACGAGGGGAGATGGGCTATATGGAGCCTTCCAGAAGGTCCTGGGCTTGGGTTTGAGGGCCCAAGTGTCCCCCTCAGAGAGGCTGGAGCTGAACCCCGAGGGCTGGGGCAAGGACGAGGGTACCCGGCAGCCTCAGCCCCAGGCATGCACCTCCCAGTGACCTTCTGTGGTTGAGGGATGTCTGTGGGTTTGAGTTAATTTTTCAGTTGAGTGATTCAATTGATTCATCGACAGTGGGCGGGGTGTGGAGCCGGGGCATTTGTGCTGTGTCAGCACTTCCCTGGGTCCAGCTGGCATGACACTCAGCCATTGCACTGCGGGAAACCCGAGGTCCTCTCCAGGAGCCCCCGGCCAGCCCCGCCTGCCCATGGCATGCAACTGGGGGCTCCTTCGGCCTGGTCCAGAGCATCAGACAGGCCTGTGGAAGGACAGTCCCCATCCTCTCTCTCAGCCAGCCTTTGGGATGCCAGCACTTATAGTCCCTGCAAGAGGGCTGAGACCCTGAGTCCCAGCAGTGTCCTGTAGGGGTCAGTTTACACAACCTGGGATCTGCCCTTTACTTACTGGGTGACCTTGGGCAAGATATTGGGCCTCTCTCCTTCTCAACCCCTTCATCTGTAAAGTAGGAAAAACCATATCAACTTCATAAGCTCAACTGCAGTGGCTCCATAGACTCTATACAAAGTCTTTACCATTGCCTACCACACCCCTCCTGATGTGAGCCAGGTTGCCTTTCTAACCTCATTGCCTCTTCCTCTTGCTCATGGCGTTCCCACCTGAGGCCTTCGTGCATGCTGTTTCCTCTACCTGAAATGCTTTCCTCACCGCTGTTCTGAGGGCTCACTCCTTACCTTCATTCAGGCCCCTCCTCACATGAGATCTTCCCTGAATACTTTGAAACCAGACCCCTATCACTCCTTATGCCCTAAACTTACTTTTCTTCTCTTCATAGCACTTACCATTGTCTGAAAATATGTTATACGTTTGTTGGTGGTTCATCTATGCTACTCCTCTCTTAAACCCCACGGGGATGGAAACTTTGTCATTTTTGCTGCTGTATCTCCAAGACCAAAGGAGTTCTCATGTCGCTTAGTAAACATTTAATACCTATATGTGAATGAGCAACTGGGATAATGAGTGAAAAACACTTCTGGAGTCTAGGACTTAATAAATGCTCTCTAAGCCATAGTTGTTATGATTCTGACCTCTAGAAGTGTCCTGGGCAGAGGGACCACATGCCTCCCTCCTAGTCCATGGGAGAGAGGGAGACTCTAGGAGCAGAAAGAGAAAAGGACCGTAGTGTAACAACACACCTCCCAGATGGTGGTCCTAGGTGGGCATGAGTCAAGGGTTAAGAACTGGAGAGTAGGTGAGACAGAGGGAACAGAGGAAGACTGACCACAATGCCAAGAAGGCCTGGGCCAGGAAACCAGCTTATGGCTTAATTGACCTGGAAAAATATAAGCCAGTTTATTTCAGGCAACACTACTTGGTGAAAACCACATAGAAGAGTGTGTAGGACAAAGAGGGTGAAGAGCACCTCCCTCCACATCCAGGAACCCAGAACCTCCTACCGCCCCCGGTCAGAGCCCATCCCCCAGGAGTCGTGCGCTGGCCACCCAGCTGCTGCACATGGCCCTGACCTCTTCCGCCCACGTGATCTGGGGGTCACACAGGAACACGGGTACCGGACGAGTCAGCATGAGCTGTGAGCCCCACCGTTTATCTCATTTTCACTTATTCCGTTCAGGAGAGTAGTGACGGCCAATCTGCTATCTTCAATCCACACATACCTCGCTCCTTTTGTACACAAACAGAACCGTGCCCTACTCACAGGGCCGCCCCTTCCCTTTTTCATTGAACAATTAATTTTGGATATCATTTCATGGCAGCACACTAAGAGCTCTCTCATTTTTTACAGCTGTATAGTTCTCCATTGTATGGATTTGCCATTCATTGAATTGGTCCTGTATTGATGAACACTTGGTTCTTTGCAGTCTTTTGCCCTTACAAATCAGTAAGGGCAACCAAATCAGTAAGTTTGGGTAACATGCCATTTTCCACAATTGTGGGTGTTTCTCTATAAATTCATAGAAATGGAATTGTTACATCAAAGAACTATACCTGTGCACTTTCGATTGTCATCGCCAAATTGTGCTTCAGAGGGACATTCCCCATTACATTCCCATCGGCCCCGATGCAAACGAGCACTTC